ATGGAGGGAAACTGTGGGAGATTACTCCAGAGAATTCAGGCAGGAGGAGCAACCTGAACTAAGACAGTAATAGTAAAGAAACAAAAACCACAACCTAAATCAGGGTTATTTCCTCAGGTCAGTGGTTAGGATTCACAGACATTCTAAGCAAAGTTCTTTACTCAGCCTTTTTTTTTTTTTTAACTAGAAGAGGCTCCACAGCTTTAATCATATATGCAAAGGAGATTATAATCCAAAAAATAATAATCATTGGATTAAAATATATCTTAGGATAATGAAGCTATCTCTATTAGATAGATAGCCCCTTGAATCACTATAGTCCAGTTCACACACTTTCAACCAAGCGCTTCCTAGCTTTAGAACTTCTGCTAATGCTGTTCTTTCCAATTGGAATACCTATGGTTGTTAGGTATTCATACTTCAGACCTAAAAGTATACTTATCCCCTCTGGGCCATTAGGAGAATTAAATAAGCTATGTATTAAAAACTTAAAATAATTCTTGGCATACAGAAAGTGTTCAATAAATATTAGGTATTTATCTGAAAGCCCATTATCTACACAGGTTTCCCATACCATTTTCTCAGCATCCTGTTAACTTCTGGTTTATCACATTTTATTATTTCTACAGTACAAGCTCCATGAGGGCAAAGTCCTTGTCTATACATCATTACACAGCTGGTGCCTAGCACAAAGTAGTATTCAAATATATTCAATGAATAATTATACTAGAATCAATAAAACTCAAAGATAACACATACAGGAGGAGGACCCACTCATCTCTCTAGCGTCTATTGATGGGAAGGATGGTGATAAACATTAACAAGAACAGGGAATAAAGGGGAATGAGCAAGTTAAGTGTGTTTTGTTGGGGGAAGACGCAGGCATTTGAGATGAACTGAACAATGAATGTATTGAATTCGAAGCAGAAAAGTTAAACAGGAAATTAGCAATACGTCTGAGATATCTGGAAGCCAAAGACGGTAGTGGTTAAGAACATGGCCTATAGTGGCAGCGTGTCCAGGTTTCAATCCCAGCTCTGTTGCCTCCTAGTTGCACCATCTTGGGCAAATTATTTAACCTCTAGACCCCAATACTCTAGTGTCCAAAGAAAGAACTCAAAACCCAACAGCAGGGGCCGGGCCCGTGGCCTAGTGGTTAAGTTCTCGCGCTCCGCTGCCGCAGCCCAGGGTTTCACCGGTGTGGATCCTGGGCGCTGACATAGTACCGCTCATCAGACCATGCTGAGGCAGCATCCCACATGCCACAACTAGAAGGACCCACGACCAAAAATATACAACTATGTACTGGGGGGCTTTGGGGAGAAAAAGGAAAAATAAAATCTTTAAAAAAAAAAAAACCCAGTAACAGAAGAAACCAATTGTGCCAACCTCACTGGGTTGCTTTTCGGATTAAATAAGTAAATACTGAAGCAGTGGAATAAGACTCAGCAAATGGTAAACAATAAATGATAGGTATTAAGATGGTAAGCAGGTGAAAATCTGATTTGAAATGAAATATATAGTGAAAACAAGAAGAGAACCAGAACTCCAGGTAAGAACAACTGGGAACAAAGGAAACATGAAGAAAAGTGATAAGTGAACCAAAGGGAGACTAGGGAATTACACAGTAGAAGCCCAAAGGATTTTGAAGAAAGTCAATAGCAGAACATGTTGGTTAAGTGCATATGGTCTGTAAGAAGGCCACAGAATTTGGTAATTTGAAGGTCAATCATCAACAGAAAAAAGTGTCCTACAAAGTGTTCGGATGGGTGTAAAGAGAGAGCAGAGCAAAAAGGCAAACTGTAGACCAGGGTTACGACGCAAATAGAGAAGAGAATTCTAGATTAGTGGTCCCTACACTTTTTGTTTTCAAGGACTTCAAAAAAAGAAAAAACAAGGAGAATGACATAAGGTTGTGGATTCTTAATTCTACCAATAAATTTTTTTTTTTTACTCTATCGTCACCATCATTTGAAATGGGAAACTGCGTAACAGCAGAAATTTATGAAGGCTAACACTCTGAGAATAAAAGGAGCGCCTTTATGAGAAATCACTATACTGTTCTTATTTTTTGCAATTTCAAAGTAGATTCCTAAAAATCTTGTAACAGAAAAGGCCCTAGGATTTGCAAATCATTTTTCTAGAATACTCTAAGAAAACTCTGACAATAAGAATGCAGGGGAAATAAAGTTTTCCCCCTTTAAAATTAAGACATCAAGTTATGTCTAAATGAAATATCTATTAAGATTTTTAAGTGACAACATCTGTCATGGTATGACAAATCTGTATGCCACAGTGTGCAAACACAAACACTAGTTAAAATTTTTACATTTGCAGGAGAATTAGTAATTTTAGAATACAAACTCCTGGACTACATTTTCTATGTATTATCTATGTCATATTTTTACAGTTGGCTAACAAGCATTTTGTATATACCATAAGTGCATTTATTACATATCAACTACAGAGAAAAATATAAGGACATATTTGCAATATACATAAACCGACCTGGCACACCATGGGGGCTCAATAAAACATTGCTGAAATATACTGAAGTGGTATATGCCACATAATGTAAACAAAGAATTACAAGTCAGATTCCATTTCTATAAAAAATCCTAAAATGACAATATAACACAGAGGTCACAAGAGTGGGAATAAGACCACAGGTTTCGATTCAGACAAACCTGGGTTCAAATCTCAACTGCAATAGTTTATAGCTAGGTGACCTTGACAAAGTTATTTAACCTAAGTTTGTCTCCTCATCTGTAACACAGAAATGATACCTACCTCATGAGGTCATAAGATTGTACTGCTGAATAAATGACAGTTATAATTTCTATATAAGATGAATATAATTTCTATATAAGATGAATTGCCAAAATCCCACAAACAGTCTGTTTTTCCCGAGTCCTAGACCAAATCCATCCAAATCTCTGGAGGATGAAGCAGAGGGCTGAATATTTTGTAAAGTTTCACAAGTGATTCTGACTAGCACTCTGACTTAGGAATCACTGTCCTAGAGCCTTATTAACAAAGCTTTACCGGAGTCCAAGACAAGGAACCATCACAAAGCTAAAAGAGCTTTAAGACATGATCTTTTGGTTAAGTTCCAAGTTTCTAAGACAGACTTTTACCCCAAATTCCTATGACATAAAACCATAACGCAAAATTCCAATTTAAAATCTTTTCCAAAGCCAGGGAAAATATGATTCCATCTTAAAACTTTACATCAAAATTAGACATCCTTTAGGCTCTTTGTATTCACTATTGAATAGTTTTAATATTGAACAGTAAACATATTTAAGTACACTTTAAATAGACGTGTAGATGAACACTGTAACCAATGCTGTATACAATAATGATATATAAGCTGTCTTATTTTGTTATCTTTCTTAAAAATAAGTTTAAGTTTACAGTTAAAATCCATTGATGCTCCACTTAAACCTTCCCAATCAATTTTTCTTCAACACATACATTTTAAATGTACATCTCATAAGCAATCTTACTAAAGAATAAATGCCCTTAAAGCAAATTCAATATTCCAGAAGCAAACCTGAAACCCTATTAACTAAGCAACTCAATAAAACATTTTAGAGAAATACGTAGAACAAAACACACAAACACAATCATGAACATTTTATTCCAAAAGACTCAGTATGAAATAATAAAAATCCCTGGGAAAAAACTAAGAGTCTAGAAACACTAGAACTTCCTCAAATCAAGCAAACAAAAAAAGCTTAGAAAGCTGTATCAGAATATGCCAACAGATCAACTGCAAGCAAGCAAGCAAAAGGAAGCTTCTTTAAAAGACTTTTCTGTTACTGTCAAGGGGAGGAGAACTAGAAAGGAAAGAAGGGGCTGGGGAAGACAAAACAGACCTCATTAATGTAAAAATTCTACTAATTTAGACACAAGAAAGACATTTTCTCAGCTACTTACATTAGTGAAGCTTATGAAAGACTAATGCAAATGCTAACTTGAAAAGTGTTAAAATCCAAGCTTTCGTACAACAGAAGAAAGGTCATAAACACTCTATCAAGGACTGGTGAAAGTTATCATTTTAAAAGCCCAAATGTATATCAAAGCACAACTCAAAAATACTGAATAGACTTACAAATGCTAATTTGTAATTAATTTTTCAAGACTTGATACGTGTCAAAATATATAAGTAGTCTTACTTTTTAAAAGTTTAACTTTACCCACTTTGTAGAATCAAGTAAATTTACTCGTTCAAAATCAAAGTGAAGAGATATATATTTGAAGACACCCTTTCAAAGTTAATCCAATCTTCCTTCTTTCAAAACTACATTTTCCTAACTATTCACTACACGCATATAAGACATATATGTCAGCGCACAATACTGCTTACATTCTAAATATATACCAGACTGAAGAACAGGTGCAATACCGTTTAGACGCATACTTTTTTCTTCTAAGCCTAAATTTGCCCTGGAAAGGGATTTAAAAATAAACAAATACCCAAAAAAGCTGAACAATCCTTTTAAAAAGACGTAGCCATTCTGAAATCCAAGAGATGAGCCCTTAAACCGCCAACACCTTCCAAAAGCTAGGAAAACCAGTCTACCAGAGTTTCACCTTAAGAGGATCGAGGCAGGCTTACTTATGAAGGGTCCTGAGGATATTTAACTCTGCTTCCGCTGCTGAGTTAGGAAGGCGAGTCAAGTACTTTCATAAAGAGAGCACAGACAGTGATTTGGCTTGTTATGGGTAAAGAAGAGGATAGAAGACGGGGAGGCCTGGTGAAAGGTACTCTAAAAAGAAAAATTCAGTACAGAGAAGCCTTGATGAGTCAGTCACTAAGTACGGAAGAACTGAAAGGGAATCTGAGTGAATAAGGCAGCATCCCAGGTGAGAAGGTCCTTAAAGTTGGCAGCAGGAAATGAAAACTTCACAGGTCAGCCGCAAGCCATTGTGCCTGGTAGCGGCCCTGGAAAGAAGCGTGGCTGTCAAGGGGTAAGTGCGGACGAACTCCGGGGGAGGGGGCCAGACATGCCAAATCGGGAAGGGGGGTGATCCGGAAAAAGGTGGTAAAATGCCCATCCCAGTCCCTCTCCTCGGGTGCTCTATCTCAAGAAACACAGACAAGCGCACGCTCAGCGCCCGGCAGCCCCATGCCGGACTCTCCCACAGAGAGGAGCACGGCCCCAAACCCCGGAGACCCGGGCAGGCAGCCTCCGGAGGAGCCCCCGCAGACGCCATACTCAAAGCCAAAATGGCTGCCCCAAGGAAGCCCGCACCGCGCAGCTAGTGAGGGTTGGGGAACAAGCTTCTGCGGAAAAGGGGGAGGGGGTCTCTAGCAAGAACCGTGGCCAGGACCAACGCCCCCCGAGCCGCACAGGTAGGTTCCTCTCGTCCTCCCAAGGCCGCGGGCTCCGACCGAGGGGAGTCCCGGCCCCACCCCCCGGGCCGGGAACCCAGCCGCCGCAGCCGTCCCGCACCCCGACCTCGGCGAGGTACCTGCAGTTCGGCCCGCTCCACCTCCCAGTGCGCCCGCTCCATCTCGAACCGAGCCCACTCGTGCTGGATGTAGTGCAGGATCCCTGGGATAGTGTACTGCTGCGGCCGGGACAGCTCCGGGCCTGCCGCGGGCCCCGCTCCCTCGGCGGCCGGAGGGCCCCCGCCGCCCGCCGCTCCATTCCCCCCGGGCGAGAGGCTCACGTTCCCCCCAGGTCCCTGCTGTTGCCGAGGAGGGGCCGCCATCCCCGGGCCGCCACCACCGCCTCCGGCGAGCTCGTCCATTGTGTGTGGGGCCCCGGCCGGGGCGCAGGGCGAGACGCCGACGGCTGGGGGAAGGGCCGGGGAGGGTGGCCCCGCGCTGGTGGCGGGGCGGAGGCCGGCTGGGAGAGGGGCGGGGAGGGGGTCGTTGCTGTATGCCTGCCGTGGGTCAGAGCAGGGAGCTGCCGGCCGCCGCCATTACAGTCCCTCCTCCATCTGCCCGTCTCACTCACTCACTTTAGGGGAAGGGGGGGGCGGCGGGAGGGGGGCGGGGGGGCAGGGTTGGGAAGGGGATCGACGTAGGGCCGTCGCTCCCGCGCAGCATGCCGGGTAGAGAACGCCGCCGCCGCCGCCGCTGCCGCCGCACGCCTAGTAGCCAAATAGAGTCCGGCCTCACCCTACGCAGGCGCATTGAGGACGCAGTCAGGGTTGCCGTTAGAGGCGGGGCAGGAGCTCCGGCCCCGCCCCTAGGCCCGCCCTCAGACTCGCCCCTGGTGTCTGGTCGCCGGCGTCCGACCGTGGGCCTCGGGCTCCGACCTTGGGAGGCGAGTCGGTCTCTGGCTGGCTTCCCGGTGGTTTCCCTCGCTCGGTCAGGCCCCGGCGCCGTTCCCCACCCAAGAGTCTCACCCATGTGCCTGCCTTCGGAGCTGGGTTTTACCCTGGCTGGTCGCTCGTGTCGGCCACAGCCGGTCCCGGATTCCTGACGTTTCTTCTGCATTCCTTGCGAGTTTCAGGCGGTCCCAGAGGGTCACTTGCTCTTTCTCTGGTTTCTTAGCACCAGTCAGTTCCGGGGCCTTGGGGACGTTCTCTTTCGGCGAATAGCCCGGATCCTTCCAGACGTGGGCACTGATTCCTCCGTCTGCGTTTCGAACCCGGGCTTTGGTCTCAATTCTGTGCTCCCGGTCGCCCTTCGCATCTTGTTCTTCTTTGCCTCGCCTCTTCTTTCTTATTCTGGGATGGATTCTGTTTGGGGCTCTGGGAGCGATTGTTTTCATCTTTTTGGGGGGAGAGGGGGAGGTGATAAAAAAAACTTTAGTTCTTGACGATGGTGGGTAGAGGGAGACATAACTTTGAGGGAGACTGGTTAGACTAACAGTTTGATGTTTTAGAAGTGAATGAACTCACAAGTATTGCCATTCGTAGCAGAATCTTTTGATGGAAATAAATCAAAGCATCGTGAATATAACTTAAAATCGTAGATGAACGGCTAAAGATGTTTTCCTGGGTCATTAAATGTTGTTTGAGTGCATATAATACACATATAAAAGACAAGTTTAATCTTGAAGTACCATAGTGTGTGTTTCTATTTGCTGAGGTTGGCAAGAAACATCCTTAATGAACTAGTAAGTTTGTAAAAGTTAATAGAGCTTGGTTGAAAAATAGGACAAAAATATTTAACAACATAATAAGGAAAAGAGGTTTAGTAATTATAACTATGCAGGGAAATTGCATTTAAAATTGATTGCATTAAAAAAGTTCTTTTCTTCTTTACTACCAATAAAATTTCACTGGTAAATACAGGACCACTTGGTGTAATTTCAAAGAGATAAAGTAGTACATCTTATTTTATCACGTCTGCTTTACTTTTTCTTTTTTAAATTTTTCTTTATTTTTCATTTTTCCTTCTCCCCAAAGCCCCCAGTATGTAGTTGTGTATTTTCGCTGTGGGTCCTTCTGGTTGTGACATGTGGGATGCCGCCTCAGCATGGCCTGATGAGCGGTGCCATGTCGGGGCCCAGGATCCAAACCAGCAAAACCCTGGGCTGCAGAAGCAGAGCGAGCAAACTCAACCACTGAGCCACGCGGCCAGCCCCTGCTTTACTCTTATAGTTTAAGGGAGAGCAGATTGGACTTGTTACCCATGCTGCCATGTTTTATTTATATTGAAACGAGGTCTTAGGTCGCAGTATTAAGAACTATTTCTCCACATTCTTAAAGTACTAATTCTCCATTTTATAGCACCCAGTATAGAACCTGCTTATTCAATCCTGTTGCTTTTTGAGGGACCTCACAGCACCTAAAAATTTCAGAAATATCATGCAGCTTCAAGCCCATACAGCAAACGTTTGTGACATGGTGTGGTTGACCTCGGTGACGTTAGCATCAAAAGAAGAGGAACATGTGCACTTATATTTCCCACTGGTACCTCAAGGTCAAGTAAAGACTGGATTTATAATCCTTTTTTCCTCCCTACTCACTTTGAAAAAAACAAAAAACTCTGCTCCTCTTCTGTTACCTCTCTTATTAAGTGGCACTACCTCCGAACCTGGGGCCTGGCCGTCATGCTAGTACCTTTCCCTCAGCCCCTACATCCAATCCTTTTGTCAGTAACACCTTTCATATCTATTCCGTTATCTTCATTCACGTCTTAATTTAAACCTTCCCACCTCTACCCTTCCCCCACCTCCCCTACCGCTGATGCCTGAGTGATCTTCAAAAGGCTGATCTGATCCTGTCGTTCCCAGCTTAAAATATTTTAGTGATCCCCAGATGTAGAATCAAGCCCCAGTTTTAGCTTGGCATATAAAGGTCCTTCAAATTCTAGATCCTCCCTATCACCTAACCTACCATACCACCATCATGGTACCATTCTCTCCAGCCAAACTGTGCTTTTTATGGCTCCTCAGATGTGTAACGTTTCATTCTGCAGGAATTTAACACATGCTATGCCTCATTACCTCTCCTCCGTTCCCTTCTTCCTTCAAAACTCAGCTCAAGTGTTGCTTCCTCCAAGAAGCTTTCCAGATCCCTGAATTATTGAGAGACCCTATCCTAATAGTAGCCCATGCTTGTCTCCTAATACTTCTTACTTTGAGTTTAAGTTGTCTATCTACTGATCAGTGACACTCATACTAAACACTAAGAAAGCAACACCTGCACATAACGGGTACTGCAAATCTTTGCTTCGCTTATTCATTTTATTTCTTGGCTGGCTACCGTTTTTCAGATACTCTGCTAGTCCTGGTGGTCCACTGTGAACCAAACAGACATAATCTCTGTTCTCATAGACTTTACAGTCTAGCTTTTAGGCAAATTACTTAGCATCATCCACCCTGGCTTCCTCAGTATCTTGTTCAGATCTGTCTTAAAACTGTCTCCTTTAAAATTTCAAGTGTGCTTCCTATTTGAAGAATTCTAACTGAATGTGTCTACATTCACTTTAAGCGGTTTCATAAATGTCAGTAATGCAGTTCTTGGCCAGGTACTTCCCAGATCATAGTAGTTTATCTGCAGGACTGCCTGCTCGAGGGCCAAGACCCATGCTCCTCCTGTTCACAGCTGTCCCCCCAGTGTCTGGGGCAGTGAGAGCCCCAGTAAGTGTTTGATGAATAACTTAAATTTAGACTGCACTAATATGAGTATTTTTCCTTCACCACAATCATTTTTTATTAGTTTCTGCTGCTACCATTTACCAGTTATCTCTTAAGGTTCGATGACCAGAATTGCCCAGAGTATTAAAAGTAAAAGACACCAAGATTTTCTCCTATGTTGGGAGAATATTTATTATACTTTTGACATTGTACTTTGTGCCCATGAGTCCTGAGGACACTCTGCAGCAACCTCCTAGAACCTTGTCCTCTGTAGATAACGAGCTCTCCCAAGCCATCCACTCATCTACAACTCACCTAACAGGAACTCCCTCCCTAAACTCTGGCTGAGTCATTTCCTCTCTTCAGTCTCACCTTTGAAACTTCCTATTTGTGTTACCCTTGCATCAGTCTGCTCATCCCGCGTCCCTCCCACTGACTCTCTCAGTTTCAGTGTGCTACTGATGATCCTCAAGAACGCCTGTTTTGTGTCTTTAATCAGTTTGGAATTTTACAGTGTTATTTTCCCTTTCCCATTAGCTAATCCTAGAAACCTGTGTGCTTATTCTAGCGGACCAAAAAGGGACTTGTCATATTTCATGTGCATATTATATGTCAGCAAAAGTATGTTAAGGAATTCCAGGCTTTTAAATAAGTCTGAAGTAGTTAACACTCAGATGCCTTCTTCCCAGTTATTGTAATCCCTGATGGACGAAGAGTTTTGACCCTGCCTTTGAGAACTATACAGCTCCCTGTCATTACTCACCTACACATCCAGTTTTCTACCTTGCTGACTATGTACCTCATGTCTTTCCAACAAAGAGCTCAAACTGGCTCACCAACACTAATCTAGTCATCTTTTTCACCATCTGAAAAGGTTGTGGCAAGTATTCTTATCTCCATGCGGAGGAGAGAAAGCTGAGATAAGAGTTCTGGGTCACTTCCACAAGCCATTAGAAGAACAGAAGTTTCCACTCTTACATCAGTGAGTGTCTGTGTGTGTTTAGAAACAAGAAATAAAGATTCCCTTCAGGGGCCGGCCCCATGGCCGAGTGGTTAAGTTCGCGCACTCCTCTTCGGTGGACCAGAGTTTCGCCAGTTCGGATCCTGGGTGCAGACATGGTACCACTTGTCAGGCCACACTAGGGCGGTGTCCCACATGCCACAACTAGAAGGACCCACAACTAAAATATACAACTACATACTGGGGGAATTTGGGGAGAAACAGCAGTAAAGAAAAAAGAAGATTGGCAACAGTTGTTAGTTCAGGTGCCAATCTTAAAAAAAAAAATGATTCTGCCTCCTACTGCCCTAT